CTCCTCCTCCCCCGCCCCCAACCACAAACGGCACAGCACACGCGGCTAGAGGCTATTACTTTGCGCCTGTGCGAAACACAGTACATACAGCAGCAGGCGCATGTGGCGCGGAGGCGGTCGCTGCTGCTAAGTTTGTAGAATCACAACTATTATTCAACTTTTGTAAAACTTGGTGGTTTTGATTCCTCCACGCGCGCTGGCGACGTATGAGTTATTTGCCATCGACGTGATGGCGTTTGTCAAGAATCCATGCGGTAATATGCCGTCTCTGTATTTGTAGACCAGGACCGTAGGGGCCGCCGCCAGGGGCTGCTGTTTGTTAGAGGGAGATGGAAAGGGGGGCTATTTGACTTTGCCTCATTTTTTGCCCCCACCCCTCCCTCTCTCCGTTTGTCACAAATGGCCACAGGCGCCCGCCTGGATAGGCAACTCAAGCGACACGGCCGCAGAGCCGGCGGACGGGCGGCAGGAGCGCACTTGCCAGGATGCCAGGAATAGAGTACGAGCGAAGAGGGAGAGGGGAGCGGCGAGGGAGGGGGATCGAGAGAGAGAGGGGGGTTGGGCGACATTGCGGCTTGCACTTCTCATTCTGTAAGCGAATAATTATTGCAAGTGCGCCTGAAGAAAGGCGTCGCACCTCGTAATGACATTATTCGCCGGTTGCTGCAACAGAACCGCATCCTGCTACCTCCCTCTGCTCTCCTTTTTTGGCGCTTACAACCCCCAGGAATGAGAAGCGACCCGTCTCTGCAGTTTTCTCTCCCTTTTTCTCTGGCCCCCGTCTCCTGCTCGATGACGCTAATTTTTCTGTTGTGGCTCACGTTAGGCATCGTCATTAGTCAAGGCGCTGGAGGCTGGAGGAGCTGTTCGCTCCGCCCAGGCCCCGCCACGGCGAGAGGGAGGGTGTGGCCCGGGGAGGGGAGCGGCGGGGGCGGGCGTGTCGCCTGCGTCACATTTGCACTGGTCTCATGACACCGCGCCACTCTTCATGTCGAGGCAACGATAAAACAGGAAAAGCAAAGAGTAAGGTGTTGAATCGTACAATTAAAGGGTGCTAGGGATATAAGGGGTTTGTGCCATTAAAAAGGCATAAAACTGCTAAAAAGCCAATATTTTTTTTATCTTACCGCACAGCATTTCAGTGCATCTACAAAAATTTCACTAAAGCCTATTGGCACCTCTGCAAACGTTTTGTTTTTCCAGTGATCAAACTACCATAATAATGAAACGAAAAAGTATGCGGGTATGTGATTCATTCTGAGCATTCCTTTACTTTAAAAAGCCAATATCCCCACACATAACAGATCCAAACAGCGTTTATTGCATTCCCCGACAAGAGTTTATCTAGGAGCTTTATTTGACGCATGCCGAGCTCACCGCACACACATACCACACCAGCCTCCCTCCCCTCCCCCCTTACCTCTATCTCTCTCTATCATCCACTACACTTCCGACTCCGCAGTCGGCCGGCGACATCCTCTCTGGCATCCCATCCCACCCCACCATCCCCGCCACGCAGTAAAGTGGAGCACCCGCATGCAACAAGCTACTACCCCCTTTCCGTCCCCCACCCCCAACAACCTCACTCTCCACCTCACCCTCCTCACCCGCATCCTCTGCTTTTCCAAAACGCAGCACCTTTAATCATTCACCTGACGGCACGGGCACGGCGGCGCGGCCTTTCTCGCCCGGGCCGGGCCGGCGGCAAAGTTTGAACTTTGTTTGTAGCACCGCTGCTGCGCTGCGTCAGGCAAGACCCGCACGGGACGGGCGCAGGTATACGAGCGAAGTGTTCAGGGCCTGCCCCATGCTCCCTGTATTTCCTTTTCCCCTCTCACCCCCTACTCCC